TTTCATCAATATGCTAATGAAGTTTAAAAATTAAGCCTTGCCATTTTCATTACAAAACCTTAGACACTGAATCTCTGTGCTTCTCTATGCAATGCAGAACATAGCTGGTGGGAGGGGCAAGCAGGATGCTGTAACTAGCTTCATGAGAGCAAAACAGCACTCTGTATCAATACTTTTCTCCAGAGTCCTAAGCTCTGATGCATGCAGTGTGCCGATTCTTTGGAGGAGTTATAGAAATATTAAAATGCCTTTGTGGATAGTCTAGAGGAGTGAGGCAAACCTCACTAGGTAATGGCGTCACGTGATCCTGACTTGCACAGTGTACATTTAAAATATTTCAGTACAGCAGAGGCACCCAAACAACTGTACAAGTCTGTATGTAAGAAAGAGACATGCAACAGTTAACAAAAGTATTTCTGGTGCACAAAAGTGGAAACAAACTTTATTTCAATGTACACTGCATCCAGAAAGTATTCACAGTGCTTAACTTTTGCTATATTTTGTTATGTTACAGCCTTATTCCAAAATGGATTAAAAATTAATTATTTCCTCAACATTCTACAAACAATACCCCATAATGACAAAGTGAAAGAAGTTTGTTTTGAAATCTTTGCAATTTATTAAAAACAAAACAAAAAAACAAATGTATATAAGTATTTACAGCCTTTGCCACGACACTCAAAATTGAGGTCTGGTGCATGCTGTTTCCACTGATCGTCCTTGAGATGTTTCCACAACTTGATTGGAGTCCACCTGTGGGAGATTCAGTTAATTGGACATGATTAGGAAAGGCATAAACCTGTCTATATAAGGTCCCACAGTTAACAGTGCATGTCAGAGCACAAACCAAGCCATGAAGTCTAAGGAATTGTCCGTAGACCTCCGAGACAGGATTGTGTCAAGGCACAGATCTGGGGAAGGGTACAGAAAAGTTTCTGCAGCATTGAAGGTCCCAATGAGCACAGTGGCCTCCATCATCCGTAAATGGAAGAAGTTTGGAACCACCAGGATTCTTCCTAGAGCAGGCCACCCGGCCAAAATGAGCGATCAAGGGAGAAGGGCATAGCCAGGGAGGTAACCAAGCACCCGATGGTCACTCTGAAAGAGCTTCAGCGACCACCATCTCTGCAGCACTCCACCAATCAGGCCTGTATGGTAGAGTGGCCAGACGGAAGCCACTCCTCAGGAAAGGGCCTGGAGTTTGCCAAAAGACACCTGAGGGACTCTGAGACCATGAGAAACAAAACTCTCTGGTCTGATGAAACAAAGATTGAACTGTTTAGCTTGAATGCCAAGCGTCATGTCTGGATGAAAGCAGGCTCCACTCACCACCTGACCAATAACATCCCTACAGTGAAGCATGGTGGTGACAGCATCATGCTGTGGGGATGTTTTTCAGTGGCAGGAACTGGGAGACTAGTCAGGATCGAAGGAAAGATGAATGCAGCAATGTACAGAGCCATTCTTGATGAAAACCTGCTCCACAGCGCTCTGGGCCTTAGACTAGGGCGACGGTTCAACTTTCAAAAGGACAATGACCCTAAGCACACAGCCCACATAACAAAGGAGAGGCTACAGGCCAACTCTGTTAATGTCCTGGAGTGGCCCAGCCAGAGCCCAGACTTGAACCCGATTTGAACATCTCTGGAGAGATCTGAAAATGGCTGTGCACCGACACTCCCTATCCAACCTGATGGAGCTTGAGTGGTACTGCAAAGAAGAATGGGAGAAATTGCCCAAAGATAGGTGTGTCAAGCTTGTAGCATCATACTCAAAACAACTTGAGGCTGTAATTGGTGCTAAAGGTGCTTCAACACAGTATTGAGCAAAGGCTGTGAATACTTATGTACATGTGTTTTTTTTTTTTTTTTTTTTTTTTCTTTTTAATAAATTGCAAAGATTTCAAAGTAACTTCTTTCATTGTCATTATGGGGTATTGTTTGTAGAATGTTGAGGAAAAAAATGAATTTAATCCATTTTGGAATAAGGCTGTAACTTAATAAAACGTGGCAACATTCTGGCAGCTGCTATTGCAGATATGGGCATCTGAATCCCGCTCTTATGCATTTCCTGGATTTCGATGCAGCTGGCTACCCAGCATGCACTTAACTGTCTCGGGCTTGTACGGTAATACCGCGATATTAGATGCTTAAGATGCCCAAAGACTCCTGGGATCGATGACGCTGATATCCCAGGAGTTCGTGGGATAGCCCGATGATGCAAACGCCTAGGCGGCCAGTACCAGAAGTGACGTGAAAATTACAAAAAAAAAAAAAACAAAAAAAAATTCTGCTTTAAGGGAAATTGATTATTTTCAAAATTATTTTCTTTTTTTACACACAAAAAAAAAAAAAAATCAGTTAATACCAAGGGGGAAAAAGCTTTATCTTTCTCAAAAAAATTATATAAAACTCATTTGGGTACAGTGTTGCAAAATGGAGCAACTGTCAAACTAACAGTGCTGAAAATGGAAAATGACCTGTAATGAGGGGGTATTACAGGCTGTTACTCAAGTTATTAAAGCCCAATTCTTTCAAAACGTGGACATTAGTCTCTTCTTCCAAACACATCAAACAGGCAGGATAGTGCTCACAATATACAATTATATCAGCTGAGGAACATTCAGTAAACTTCAGTCTGATGTGGAAATACATCTCCACGGCCATATCTGCTAAAAGACTGATCTAGCGGAAAAAGGAAATCGGTCAAGCTTTGGGATTCTACTGCCTATCATACCAATTAATGTAAAACACAATCAATGACCTAAGGACTCTCTGTTCAGGACAGAGATGCAGAAAACACTGAGATCTCTATATAACCTAGAAGACTGATTTATTCACGTGTGAACAGAACTTGGGCTGATTTACAGTTGTGGAATGTGTGTGGACATGAACCTGTATTCCCTACAAGTACCCATTTTACATTTTAGTAACTCATGTCCTGTGAGTTTAATTCTTACTGCAAATTAAAAATAGCACTGGTCTTAAAGTGGATGGAGATAACCTGCTGTCAATATCAAAATGAGCAATGAAACCAAAACAACATATTCATATTTGTATGTCATTTATTTATCATTATAAAGGTCTAAAGTTTGTACAGCACTTTGGATAGCAATAGAAGACCACAACCTCAGTACAAAGCACCTGCTTCTGGACTTCAGTATACCTATTTCTAATCCTATCATCAAGTACAGAAGCAAGTTTTAGTATTGAAGTTGTGCTTTCAAGGTGAACTACATAGCACACATGTACATGGCATACTCTACATTGGTCCTCAAAGTTATGATACACATTTTCAGTTTATTAAAAAAAAAAAAAAAAAAAAGGTTCCTGCTGACCCATGTGTCAATCTTAAGCTGGCCACACACTACAAAACTATTGTATATTCTTATTTTACGTTTATCTAGAGCTATGTAGTCCTACCCGATTGTAGTGCATGTGGCCATCTTTAACCTGCGTGCTGTGGATATAAAAATATAAATATCCTTAGATGTGTAAATCAAATGTTAACAGTTCAAATGGGTAAGGCAGTATGAACATAATCTCCCATGAAGCTGAGAGGGATGCTGATGGTTTGAACCATTTTCTGTCCATCATATAAATTTACAATTCTGTTTCTAATAGTAATCACATCTATAACTTTATTTGTGGCCCTCAGTAGTCAACGTCATTAACTGAGTGAAAGCAAGAGTGTAAAGTATGAATTTGTTCCTAATCTCTACAATAAAAACTGCAACTTGACACAATGACACTGATCATTTTTAACTTCGGGGCTGTCATATGTACTTTATCTAGGCTCTCACTACCAGCAGGACAGGACACCAATTACACACTGTTCCCACATAGGGAGCCAGTAGCAAAATGTAAGGTTGGATACATAAAATAAAGATTTTAACAAGTAGGCAAACACTAGTAATGAATTTTAATGCCATGAGTAATTGCCTCTTGCTGCTGTGGTGGACATCAGCGCCACTGCTCTAAACCATAGGGATACACACAGGCAAAGGGTAAGAACTGGGATCTAGACAGGAGGTCCCAATACGATGGAATGAAGATATCTAAGAACAGATGAACTTGCTATCGGAGGAGTGACCACTTGATTTGCTCTTTAGCAGACTGCAGCACCTAAAAACAGAACATATAATATTAATACACAGACACTACATCCAGTTATTCATGAACTGTTTTTTTTTTTTTTCTTTAATTTCTCCAATAATGTAGGCTGATAAATTTACACCTATCCTGAATGTACCCAATCATGCTAGTATATAGAATATGTCAAAAGTGCAACTGTCTAGATATAAAAGGTGCCACTTGAGCAACAAAGTGGCTTTTGAAGGAACAGACGCCGCTCAAACCAGTCCAGTGAGTCAGATGTATGACCTCTGTGACCTAGCCCCAGTGGGCAGGGAAAAATGTGTCAGAGGGCACGGGCGGAGCAGTGGCTGAGGCCATCTCATACATCGGACTCACTGGGCAGGATTTGAGTGGTGTCTGTTCCTTCACTACATCGGAGCTACTGTAAGCATTTTGGGACACTGCTCCCTCTTTCCATATACTCGCGGGGTTGCGCGTTCTTGCTTTCCAGCTTGGACAGGAGCCATAAGTGTTGTCTGCAACAAAGTGGCTTGGTTTGGCAGTTTTGTATTGTATTGTATTTAAAAAATATTTTGGAGTAAAATTAGATTTTTTTTTGTATCTAAGTCCACTTTCAATGCCCAAGTCAATCAATATATAACTCTGGGAATGCAAGAATCCAAGTAGAGCAGCACAAAACTTATCACTGAAATAAAGAGAAGTAAACCGATAGTCACCATTACCAGTCAATGATAATGGAATGACATCACAAAATGCCAAACTGTCACTCTCACACTTTAGACACAACTTACATTGAGGTGATGCAAAAAAAGGTTTTATTTTTGGGTAAGGATGAGAAATATGAGCTCATTTTAGCACTTTTACATATCAATCCCCACTTCCCACTCAGTAAGTAATGTTAACTTAGAAGTCTGATGTACTGGAGTTAGGGATTCTTACCTGAGAGACCGTTTGTTCTGTAAGAGGAACATCATCACCCTAAAAATAGAATTAGAGAATTACTTCATATGCTACAATATATTAGTCCCAGGAATACAATTTTAATACCATTCCACCAAACACTCAGACAGCACCCCAAGCACCCCTTCATCCCCCACTATGCCTTTCTCCATATTAACCTCCAGACTTCCAGACACCCTACCGATCTTTGCTCTGCTACAGTGCCAATGACACCTCTTCCATCATTTGGTAGCTCTGCAGGTGGCGTTGCCAGTAGCTGGGCACAGATCCCTATGAGAGCATAGTAAACAGTGTAACAGCATGCTAATGGGGGGTTCATAAATCTGCCTTCTCAGCAGGCCGTTCACTCTGAGCTGTGTGGAAGGCCCATGGGACAGATGCTAGTAAGAGAAACAGCATATGGTGATACGGCACTTAACCACTTCACCACTTGCAAATCTAACTGCACGCTCAAAAGCGCAACCAACAGTTCCTATATTACTCAACAAAGAGCTCTTTAGAAGACTAAAAGGCTTTTACTACTAATGTACACAATCTACAATGATATTTATTTCAAAATGGCTCTTTGGATGCAGTAGGGTAACAATGATGTCAAGCCAGTGCCCTCAGTGTAGTCTTAAAGTGCATAATGGGACAAATATTGGGTCATTACCAGGTAAAGTATCAGAAATGAGCACTGCTAAAAGAACTAGTTGCTGTGCAACTTTATTCTTTGGCATGGGCTAAAGAAGAATTAGGGAGGGTTTGTGGCGGCCGCAGTGATCAAATATTTTGTTTAAATCGGATTATTTGCTATGGACAGCACAGACCATTATAAAAATGCTGACAAATTAAGAGTGATCTTTAACTCAAAAAAACAATCTATACACATACCTTACTTAATGGCCCTGTAATTTAATTTTTCATTCAATTATTTCTTACTGTGCTTTTCTGCCTCCATTGGCTCCCAAACATCTCCTTTTTCCCCTCACTTCCATTTGTTTGGAATAAACAGTACACATTAGTGGCAGTCGTGTACTGCGCTATGCACACTAAAAAATCTCATAGTCCCCAGTCCATCTCTGGAGTGATCGAGAAAGGTTGGCTATGTTCCTACATACAGCGGGACCATGCAGAATAAACAGCAAACCTCTAACTTGAAGGTGGATCACAGCAGGAATCTGAAGATTTGGATGAGGTTGAGAGCAATGGAAGATACATTTATGTGTTAGGAATATATACTTAAATATAGGGTTTTTATTTTAAACCAGAGTTTAGTGTCCCTTTAAGCTCTGTTATCTATTGGTAACCCTAAAAACCAGTTATTAGGAGCCAGGCTTGGGCAAGAATGACTGAGCATACTGGATACAATAAACATTCTGAGTAAACCCCAGACCAATCTGATATCAGTGCAAAATTCTGACTTACTCTTTATTGCTCTCAGCAATCAGTGCATATGTAAGCCTGCTTAAAGCAGAACTTCATTCTCTCAATCAACATTGACTATTTTTAATTCTTATGCTGTTAGCATTAATAGATAGGAAAGTATATCATATTTACTTGTTTAAACAATTTTTTTTACATTTCTTCAGTTACTTCCTGGTTTTCATGCCTAAGTAAATGGTGTTATATATCCCAGAAGTCTTCAGGAGAGGTTTTCTCAGCTAAGCACATCCTCCTGCCTGCATACCTGGGCTAAGGGCAGATGGATTCCAAGAAGTAAAATGGTACATGAATCATCTGCCTTTACTCAAGACGGCCATGTCCAGAAATGCTAGGGGGTGTTTTGCAAAGCGATTTCTAAGCAAAATAAAGCATGAAGACATGGAACGATGGGAGAGGTTGCTTTGAATTTTTTAAAAAAGAATGAAATAAATAGTTTCGTGGTGCTCAGATGAAGTGTAGTTTTGCTTTAATAATATTTGCAAACTTGTGAAAAGGGAATGAGTGTTTGCTGGTTCTGTGCACTGGGTCACATATCTTTTGATGGCTGGCTGCCAGAAAAATTAGGTCTATGTGTAGGGAAAACGGGCACTGGTAGACTAAATACAATGAACTTACCAGCTACATGACAATTGGCTCAATGCACACAGCAGCATAAGTATACTCCTATTCAAAGTGCTGCAACTTATTCTTACTTTGTCTAATGAAAATTACAGGCTGTATAAAGCCCAGTGAATGAAGTGTATCTAGAGCGGTTTAAAAATACTCTCCAATGTTAGCCATTAGTATTTTTCTGTCTATAAAATTCCTTTATCACAGGTTGCGTGTGTAAGTGTGAGAACTGCAGTACAGTCTACAGCATTGTTTTCATATGTAGTTCTGCCTCCTCAGCTTAACATACTGGAATTTTTCAGCCACCTGTCAGTGCATTCATTTAACATATTATGTATACTATACTGGATTTCAGTGTTTTTAGCCTTAAAAGTAACATTTACTACAGAACAACCATTTAGATTCTTCCTCTCATGTTTCAAGTGCAGTGAAGAGTAAGACAGGGTGGACCCCAAAGGTTGTTGCTCTACAGTTCTTTATTCATACACCTTCAACATACCCTCAGTGCAACACGATGAACCACTTGCTGGGGGTCACTCTCCAAAATAACTCTGTACAAAAGAGAAAAAAAAAGGCTGATGACCAAATCCTTCCAGACATAGAAGAGTTAAGAGAACCCTCTTCTTACATGCCATTATAGCTGAAGCACGGAAGCTCAATCTGCAGAAGTCTATGATGGAATCAATCCTAATGATGTCATTACACGGCTACATAGCAGCACTTATGCCGTAATGGCATTGTTAGGAGCTTTTCTCCTTGCAGAGTCTCTATGGTGGTAACGGCTGCTCTCTCACAATTCAAACAAAAACAAGCACAGACGGAAAATGTACAACTTCCAGATTAACACTTCTATTTACAATCGCAGGAGGATTTTACTGTCTTCATTTGTGAATGTGAATTGCCTGGATGTTCATGCTGGATGTTTAACTACTAAGCTGCCAGCAGTTATTTCAGCAGACAACATCATGGCTTTCAGGAGACAAGAAATCAATGCACTATTTTATGTTAAAGACTTTACAACCTGGAAAGTAGAAGTGAAGAGCAGCTTTGGTTTAGATGGCATAATACCAAACTAGAAATGGCAGCACTATGGGGTACTGCAATACTCCACAGATTTCCTTATTGATGACACTGAATGCTTAGTGAAAGCACAGATGTCACTGTATATTAGCTGTCACACATGGCAAGCCAGGACAGACATCAAGACATCGCTTACCCTCCATCTATAATTTCATCAACTGCAAGGAACAGTCCTTCCATGTTCTCCAGGAGTGTTCGCTTCTCTACATTTTTTCTATTAAAACAAAAAAAGAGAAACATATTTGACTCCAGACCAACAAAAAACAAAAGTTCATACAACCAAGGGAATATTTTTTATGTTAAACCTCGGTATTCTGATCATTTATTTTACTATTTATTACAGGTACTTATATAGCACAGTAGGTAGTTCCATGGTCATTTGGATGTCCCGCATCTACTGTCTATTATATGTATGCAGGATAAGTGAAGCGTAACGATAGTGGTGGGTACATCATGACCCCAAAGATCTCCTAAGGCCACAACGGCAAAGCCATGTTTGGGGAAGAGATATGTTACAAGCAATGTGCAGAGCAATGCAAAATGTATGATTTTTGCATGAAATATTCAGCTCAACTATATTATATTTAGCATCCCAGGACTCCTTTGAAACTCAAGTCAAGAGAAAGGAGAACCTTTGTAGGAAAATACAGTGTCTGCATACCCTTTTGTACTAAACACCGACCAGACACACAGGATGCCTGTTGATAATATCTCCTATAGTTCAATAGGACCCTGTCTCTTATCACAGTAATTATAACATTGTCCCTCACCACCACTGGAGGTCAGTGAAATGGGGATAAACTAGAAGTAAACATAGTAGCTGATGTCTTTTTTCAACTATTTCTTTTGTGCTGTGATTAGAATTCAACTTTAAAAACTCTCTTCAGTTCTAAACCTTACATTTAAAATGATTTACAATGCTCCTTCTTTAAAGAGGTTATTCCACCCAAATAATAATGCAGTTTTTGGAAATGGTGGAGTGTAAACCTTCTAACAATCTTTTCACTAGGGAACTTTGACGATTCTCTGCTTTTCGTTTTCCACAGCTGTACATCTGCCATAATGAGGCAAACCTCTTCTCACAGACATCTAGCCACTGGGCTCCACAAGACAAACAAAGACAAAGCTGAAATCTACTATTTTAGGGGCTAACCTAAAACAGGTCTTAACTAAACTCAACATTTAAAAACCATTTATTACATTTAAAGTGGGATTGAAATATTAATATAACAGCTCTAAAGTGTTCCCCCACCAAGATCCCGAACACCGCTAATAACCTAGATGTAGACTCCAAATCAGACATGTAACTTGAGCAGCTTGCAGCAGACCAGGGCACCTACTTTGTTTACACTGACTCTCTGGCTGACCACATCACTGCATCTGCAGTTACAGAAAATTGCCCACTTAAAAAAAAAAAAAAAAAAAAAAGGCCGCCTAAAGTAATAAGGAACATAGGAAAATGTACAACTTCCAGATTATGACTTCTATTCTTTTGTTTCAAGCCGCCATCTTAGATGTCAGAGGCAGCTTGCACTTCCTGATAACTCACAGGCAACGCCCCACTGCATATTCTAGAGATCACCAACAGGGGGTGGAGAATAACCTGAAGTCTCTTGGGATGTGTGGCATTTATCCAAGGAGGCTGTGGGATGATGAAATGGGGGGTTGGGTAAGGTGGTTAAAAAGGATCTTTCATACTTGTCTAAATGAGAAGGGGGATGTGGGAGCAAGCACCTGCAGAACAGGTACTTGCGTCTCAAAAAAAAAAAAAAAAAATTCTTGCAAAAGTTTAATAGGAAGGGTCAGAAAGAGGACATGTGTAAACAGTGAGTGAAGGTCTGCTTTAATTACATAAATACACCTGACAACACAGGTATGATATAATTGGAAGTTGGCATCATTAAGAGGAGGTACAGGACAAAAACATTTTGGTTACATGGCAAATATGTTATCACATACCTGAGCATCTGGCTTAATGAATCGAAAAGGCAATTCAGAACAGCCATCAACATGAGCTATATAGAAGTTAAAAATAAATATAGGATATGAGTACACTAGCAGTCAGTAACTTAACAAGCAGAGCAGACAATAGACTACAAAATGGAAAGTGAGACCACTCAAGCAAGTGACACAAGCATTGTTTTCAGAAAAGCTGGAATGATTTAACTAAAACAGAACTGTCAAATGGCTAATTATCAGCCATACAGATAGTGAAACTGGCACAGTGCAACTTCCCTCTCATGCTGCAGTGTGTGTTGTGCTGCACTGAATTTACAGGTAGAGCAGTGACAGAACAGAAGCACATTGACCTGAAGTAGCTACGGGCTGTCTGGAAACATAAAAAAGGGCCAAGATCCCCACCTGCTGTGTATTATAAAGCTACAAAGTATGTAATGCAATATTACTTATTATTTTGGTACATACCATAATAAAAAAGAAAATGATATAAAAGCAAAGCAATGTGTATGCAACAGTGCATAAGGGCAACACTGACAAATAACAATGATCAGTAAAGAGGAGAAAATATATTCGCTCCCTGCCTCTTCGCGGTCACTGTGGTCATTATTAAGTCTAGTCATAACAAGTTAACATTATATAGCCATTCATATGTATACTTCAGGTAAAGCGTCTCCAACCTTGAACATACAAATTTACTTGCTAAAATCCTTGTGTATTAAAGTCTGCATGACGAGAAGACAGATCTACAGTTAGTGGAGCATGAATGGCTAAAGCAGAGCTCGGTCATTATTTGTTGGACTTGTTCAGATGGTTTTGCTTTGACAACAGAAAGCTCTTGCGGCATACTACAGTTACAATGCAACAGTAAAGGACAATGAAAATAAAACTATCTAAAAGTGTTCTTTCCCTTTAAAAAAAAATCAAGGCCCAATATACCTTTTCCAAGACAGGATTTTAGCTGCTGCATAGATACCAAGCTAAAATCCAGAACAGCAGAAGGGTCATTTCTTGTAACATAAATCTACATTTAATGCAGTGTGAAAGTAGGCCACAGAGTTCAAGATTAAGTGCAATTCAGAATCATTTACTGAACTATATCAGGTTGAACAAACAATTTAAAGTGACCTTAAAACTAATAAGTCATAATAGTTTATACAAGATGACTTAATAGTTATTTGAGAGCCATTAGAGAGGTTCAGGGGTGTCAGCATTTACCTCTACCAAAACCAGTTAATGGCCGGGTTCAACCACTTAAATGCTATTCCCCCTGTTCAATATCCTAATTCAATGGTAGAGCAGGAACAGGAAAATTACACACCAAAGGGACAAAATTTAGTGCACATCTATGGAATTAAAAGGTACACTCTATTCAAAATTGCAAAATATGCACGCAGATGAATGCATGGGACCAGACACAGCCGTTTTACACTACCACACTGCTTTATGTAAGTAATGTGTCAGTCTGTGACCCTTTTCAAGAGAGGGATTGTCCAAAACCACACTATAATTGCCTTGTTGACCCAAAGAAAGAGGAGTGTAATCAGGCTGAACTCCAGGAAAAAGAAAAATGCTCCTTTGCAGTGGGACACCAATGGCACTGCAGCGGTTTAATGCTCATTATGCCTAAGGAACCAGTAACAAGGACTTTTACTTCACTGTATTCTTCCCCCTGATGCTCCTGGTTGTGGGCAACCCCTTGGTGTCCTCACATACGATGCAGGGCTATTGGTCCTGCATTGTACTTTATGAGATCAGAGTGGTCTGTAACTGCCGAAGCACCTTAGAGAAGAGGCTGCAGGGGTCAGCTGCATAGCTTGGAGTGAGCCTGCAGGTTGGGCGATTCAGACTGAGCATAATGTATGATGGTGATGTGAAAAGTGCATATATTTGGGTATTTCCGTTAGACTCCAGCTTCCCTGTCCGAACACAGATCCCCGGACCACCACTGACCAAACAGGACGAGACACACCAGACTTGTATGAAAGACAGGAAATGGACCGCTTTATTTTAACACAGACACAAGATATATGCACAGGGTGGGGAAATGCAACCAGTAACAGGAAACACATCAACAGGCCGTCCCATCAGGGGGAAGGGCTGCCGGAAACACCCCCCACCAAGCCAGTACAAACTCCCAAGTAAGACACACAATAGAACAATGGGATACAACACCTGGCAGAGACAATACACAAACACATACATCCCATAATAGTTTGCTCTCATGCAAGCCACACAATAGAACAATGGGATGCAGCCGCATAGCAGTGAACAATGGACAACCCCCACCTATACATGTCTACACAATATCAGGACAGACCACCCTGTACCCCTAACAGGCACAGGGTGGCTTACACATAAGAGGGATATGGGGAGCTGAGACAGGGGTCTTCCCACCTCTCCAAAGGGGGCTGTGTTCCATGGGCCCCCCACCCAAAGTCACTCCTGTTACATGCGTGTACACCGTTGCATCTACATTGCTGTGAATGGATTCCAAGTCAGAAAGCTGACAGGTTGCCAAGATTCAGCTGTAATAGGAATAGGGAAGGAGTGCATCTGTTGTAAACTTTGAAGGTAAACTTCTCCACAGTGCCTATAGCTACAGAGGTGTTTGAGGGCTTGTGTTTAAGTGCTCTTACATCTTAGTGTGAATAATTTGTGCACAGACTCACTGTAAGTTGAGAGAGAGAGAGAGAAATGAACTCAGTCTTCTGCTTTTCCTTTTACAGTTACAGGCTGAAGAAGGGACAAGACCTGCAAGTGTTGCTTAACCGAAGTAGAAAAATCTCTTCCAGAGAGGGATATGCAATGTGTAGATCTGAGGACTGGATGGACACAGAAACTAATCCTACAGCAAGCAAAAAAAACTTGCATGTATTTATTTCATCTGTGTATTTAACAGTTTTCCTGATGTTTAGCTTTGATTTACATGTATATTTGTGTTCAAATGTTTGCATACCCTGGCAGAAATTGTGAAATTTTGGCATTTATGTTAAAAATACTTGCATGTATTTATTTCATCTGTGTATTTAACAGTTTTCCTGATGTTTAGCTTTGATTTACATGTATATTTGTGTTCAAATGTTTGCATACCCTGGCAGAAATTGTGAAATTTTGACTGATAATGCCAAAAAACTATAATTTAAGGATAGTGATCATCTGAAGCCATTTATAGCACAGTTGTTTGGCTGTTTTTCAAATCATAATGATAATAGAAATTATCCAAACAGCCCTGATTAAAAGTTTACATACGCTGGAGTGTTTGGCCTTGTAAGAACGCACAAGGTGACACACATGGGTTAAAATGGCAATTAAAAGTTAATTTCCTACAACTGTGACTTTTTAAATTGCAATTAGTGTTTGTATAAATAGTCAATTAGTTTGTTAGCTCTCACATGGAAGCACAGAGCAGGCTAGATACTGAGCCACAGGGAACAGAAAAGAACTGTCAAATGACCTGCATAACAAGGTATTGGAACTTTATAATTGATGGAAAAGGATATAACATGATATCCAAAGCCTTCAATATGCCAGTCAGTACTGTTCAATCAAAGTCCAAATGCAAAAGTGGAAAATTCAGGGATCTCTCGATACTAAGCAAATGGCACAAAAATGCCTGGTTACAATATATACCCAACACAGCTCACTGGGCCTCACTGGTCAAGGTGTTGTCGGGCATATTATAACGGTTTTTGGTGGCAATGGTGCAGTAAAGGTTTCTTTCTGGCAACTTGACTATGCAGCTCATTTTTGTTCAAGTACTGTCATATTGTGCTACAAAAAAATAAATAAATAAATATTTTTCCAGAGCAGCCTGTATTTCTTCTGCAGTTACCTGTGCATTTTTCTTCATATCCCAAAAACTTTTCTGCCAGTTATGGCTGCAACAATTCTTGGTCTACCTGACCTTGGCTTGGTATCAGAAGATTCCCGTATTTCCCACTTCTTAATAAGTGATTGAATAGTACTGATTGGCATATACAAGGCTTTGGATATCTTTTTATATTCTTTTCCATCTTTATAAAATTCCATTACCTTGTTATGCAGGTCTTTTGACAGTTCTTTTCTGCTCCTCATGGTTCAGTATCTAGCCTGCTCAGTGGATCCATGTAAGAGCCAACAAACTCATTGATTACTTACACACAGACATCAATTGCAATTTAAAAAGTCACAGATGTGGGAAATTAATCTTTAATTACCATTTTAACCTGTGTGTGACACTCCGGGATATGTAAACTTTTGATCAGGGCTTTTGGGGGGATTTCTGTTACCATTATGATTTAAAAAGGAGCCAAATACCTATGTGATAATAACTGGCTTCATATGAATACTATACTTAAATAAAAGACAGCTTTTTTTTCCATGATCAGTCATATTTTCAATATAAATGCCAATATTGCATGATTTGTACCAGGGTATACAAACTTTTGAGAACAACTGTACTGCCAAGAATGTGTAGACAACAAAAAGAAGGGGCTTGGCCATATGGGGATTGTTTGTTTAAATGAATGATAAACTAATGCAAGGAAATAAAAATCCTATAAGTCACACATCACTACAAAATCTGTGTGTGGAGAGTGAAACAGGCTCAGCCTGGACTCCATCTAGGCCACCCTGGATGGAGCCTGGCCTGCGGCTGTTTCACCCTCCGCACACAGGTTTTGTAGTGATGTGCAGCTTATACGATTTTATTGGTATCCACAGAGCTGGGATGAGCTCCATCCTCACCTGCACCCTCAGCGGTGTATTATAGAAGAGAACCTGTCAGAGCCTCGAGCACCAGCTGCAATTTGGCATTGGTTCACAATGATAACCTAATGTCCAGACATGCAACAAAAATCATATGTAGTCCATTTTCACATTTTAAAAAATTGAATTTGTTTTAATAATTCCTAAAACAAGCAAGGAATGTAACGCATTACACACAGTGATATGTAAAGATGACCAAAAAAATGAAATTACAGGCAGAATAAAAAGTGTTTATTACCTCGTTCTCATGAGAACTTCCAATAACATAAAAGTAAAGGTCGATGCTGCTCTTATATACCACAGTCAGACCTTCAAGAAGAGCTATTTCACCTGCAGAGACAAGAGAATGACAAATCCAATCTCTGGCAATTCATGAGAGACTACTCTTCAGATAGAACTATAGTGGAGAATTATTTTACAAAAAGGGTGCACAGATAGCGAATCTTCCTGCTTTACAAATACCGGGTATTTTCAAGGACAGCAGCTAGTGAACAGGACAAAGAGGAATCATGTAACAGTAGAAAAAGGGAGGTGGAAAAAAATAGAACATCATACTTTCCCTTAACTAGTGAAAGCCACGGGTTTACATTAAACATAGAAACATGACGGCAGAAAACCAAGTGGTTTTTTTTTTGTTTTTTTTTTTAAGTCTTTAAGGGACATCAGTGTCAACCCCTACCACAGTCACACTGCCCTCCTCTTGCATTACTAGTTTTTTGATCGTGTAAAATTCAAAACAGACCCAAAAATGAAGCCAGTGAAAAGTGGAGCCAAGATTTCAACTTGGAGATCTTACAGACTGATTCACACACAAAATTAAAATCTAATCAATAATCTGAATCAATCTATCAAACAGTGATGCATTTGTGGCCAATCAGGTCAAATTGAAGAATAAATGATCATACCTGTTGGAACATTTGATTTGTGTTCAGTGTGATTTCAAATTAACTTTTTCTCCTCTAGAGCATGGGTTTGGATAGGGTGACTAGGTCATATGACACAAGAAGGAGCAACAGTACAATTTCTGTAAGTGTCAGATGAATTCTTATCGGATATAGTTAGGTTTGATTTTGGGAAAAAAAAAAGTAAAAATACTTTTGTTAACGGTTTCCTATTTCTATGTATAAAGTAACTTGCATATATAAAATCTAAAATAAATGAATTCCCCCATTTGTCTGTAAAAGGAAAAATGCAAAGAGGTATGTCTACAGTACTCATGTCCATGAGATCTTACGCAATGGTAGAAAAACAAAAGATCAGCACTTACTGTCTGTTCTGTGCGTTTTATTAAAGATATTCTTCTCAAAGGACTTTTGCTCCTTCACAGTGGGATAGGTCTCATCATAGTACTGTCAATATAACACAAAAAGTTACAATCAAAACAGTATATACATCCATTTTAGAATGTGTGCAATAAATGCATTTTTAAATAGCTAAGACACAAAAATCTTTCATTTACATTAGGGATGCACCGATACACAGTATTTTCAAGAGTATTCGTGAAAATGCTCCTGATACCTGAAACAGATACTTTGTGATTTGCGTCAATACAAAATGCACATGTGGCCATAGCAACGGCTGAGGCCATCCATCACACAGCATTGTTCTCTGACTCCTGGAGATCAGTTTGAGCAGCATTCACCCCTACATAATACAAAATGTATGGACATAAATTGCACCGCAAAGAATAGCATGCGATTTGAACAGGAATGCGATTCCTTTCCAGATTGCATGCGGTTTCCCCTCTACTCCTGTGTGAACCCAGGCTTGTCACACAGGAGTGGTGCGGGAAACCTCCCTGCACCGATCCCATGATGTCACAGAAGCAAAAGCTGGAGATTTAAAATTCCAGCAGCTTTCTCTCCTCTCAGTGCAGGGATGATGGTATGGGCAAGACAGCTTTTGATTGGTCAGCAACATGCTGGTGTTGACCAATGGGAAGCCGTCTAGCCCATACTGTCATCCCTGCAAGGAGAGACGAGAAAGTCGCAGGGATTTCAAATCTCCAGACCTTGTGAAGTGTCTCTCTCTCCTCTCCTTGCAAGGATCACAATACAGGCTAGACAGCTTTTGATTGATCAGCACTGCCATGGTGCTGACCAATCAGAAGCCATCTAGCTTGTACTGTCATCCTTGCACTGAGATCCACTTTGTGTGCACCAAGTCTTTATAAACTAGATATTACCTTTCAAAAGTAGTGGACACTGGGCTGCAGGCAGGTTGTGCAGAAAGCAGCAGAGCTGTGGGTGAGACCCAGCTATCCTTCCACTACAGGCTGCCTGCTGAATTCAGCAGGGGGGTGGATACAAGACCAGTCACCCTACACAAGGAAAGAGATCAACAGCGACTAGTATTTATTACAGAAAGCTCTCACACAGGCAATGTGCAGGAATTATTATAAGCTAGATTACTGGAGAGATCTGAATAAAACACACAAAAAACCCTGAGAGCACACACGGTTCTTATACTGACCATGTTTGTTTAGGCTGGATCTGCAATCTCCTCTCTCTAATGGTAACTGAAATAATATTTTTAACCAGACTATAAAAATTTTAAAAATCACATTCCAGTTTGTTGGTTTTGTCTAACTTAAAGAATAAGTTCAACTTTAGGAGCATGTTACAGACAAATTTAGGGTGTAACATGCTCTTATGCACCTGCCTCCTGTTGTCAGAGCTCCCCTACCTGTGACAACAGGCGGGGGTTCCTCTCCCGCGGTCACATTTTGAAAATGGCTCTGCCTGCACAGGTACATCATTCATACATACGAATCTTGAACTGAAAATAAAAGTACAAGTCCCATCTTCCACCAAGGCAGACAGCTCGTAGTTCTCAGTGCTCTGAGAGGGCACTGATGAGCGCCCTCTTAGTTCATTCACACTGCCTACAGCTTCCTAACAGACAGCCCATGCAGAGGTATAGGCAACGGAGCTGCAGGTGGTCTGTGCAGGAGCCAGACAATGCACCGTTGATCTACTGATCGCAGGTGCAATGCTCTGCAGGCTCCTGTGAAAAAAAAAAAATTCTAATGGCACTTTTTTTCCAGCAAAAATATATACATTTATTATTTTTTCACAAAAGGTGAACTTAGCCTTTAATAACAACTTCTAAAATACCCTAAAGCCTTCAAAATCTAAAAACAGTGAAAAATATCTAAATACCATACCCATCTAATTTATAGTATGTGATCTTTGAAACTATACAGGCAATTTAGAGGTTCACTTTGCTTAGAAAATTTGAATGGAGGTGCTTAGGAGCATAGACTAGTGAATGGAGAGAAAGTATGTGAACCATATGACTACAGGAATGTAGTCATATGGTTCACATACTTTCTCTCCATTCAGCTGGTCCAAGGTTTTGCGTGTACACAACAGTATCTTACTATCCTTTAGATTCCAAAAGAGCTTGAAGACACCGATACCAAACAGTGCACGGTGTATGGAACCAGAAATCAATAGATGACGTGGTAGGGAGGTAAATTTTAGTCACTAGGTATGGGAAACAAACTAAGCTGTAACCGTAAGACTGTGTTACTGATGCGTTTCCAAGCTGAATAATTATTAAACCAAACATACATTGAAAGTAAAAGAACAAAGAGATAAGTCTTGAATTGATGCCAGTGCATTTTGGATTCTTTCACTGAACTGGTCACACACGAGACAGTGGATGAGCAGGAGTTCACAATGAGACTTCAAAACTACCAATGTTTTGTACATCAACAAAGAAGCACCTGTGGTAAGCATGGAAAACCCAGGTTGAGGAGCAATGACATAGTAATCCTTGACATTAATAATTTTTCAAGAGTAGGAAGCTGTGCACTTGCAATATCAGACCATATATATAAGCACACCGACAATTAGGCTGGCCATACATTATACAATGTTCTTGTTCAATTACCTTTAGAATTACCTTCAACAGGGCCTGCCTGATTACATACAAACTGAAAGTGTTTACGTTTGACCTCATATTATACAGTTTTGCCATATCTAAATGAAAATTGTACAAGTAATTATAGAATGTGTGGGCAGCCTAAATAAGGTCAGTAACTCAAAACATGAACATTACACTTTACTTGAGTAAAGGATGATTATGGATTGGCTACTACAACTACTGCACTTTGAATCAGGGCTGACCATGCACTATACAGCCCATCTGTAAAATCTACTTTAGCTTTACTATCAACTATGTAGTGTGAAGGGCTGTGTGATTTGATACTATCTATATACATTGCTCAGGTGTGTTTTCATATCACCCAGTTTTGAGAATTGTACAGAGATTATACCAGCAGACTGTATGGTTAGCCTAAAAAAACACCTATACACATTTTCCTTTTTTGGACAAAAGGAAATTACTAAATGATATCCACGAGTGAGCCCGTGTATGAGCCACTGTTGACACATTTGCTGAGATTAATCTTGCTGTGTGATTTTTCAAGCATACCTTCGCAAAGAGCCTCTCACCATCGTTGTCTAAAATGAGAACAGCTTTCACTGTGTACAATGAGGGGTCCTGCCAAAAGAAAGAGCAAAAAGAAAAAAAATCACCATCATTCAACAAGCACTCTGCACCTCCCTCCCTCTATAAAATTTAGGGAATAAGTTAGAAGAGAGCTACAGAACGGATCCATATTTGTACTACATTGTGGCTTGTAACTCAGACAATTTACATAGTTACATAGTTAGTCTGACTGAAAAAAGACAAAAGTCCATCCAGTTCAACCATTACAAAAAAAAAAAAAAAAAGTTATAATCCTATACCCACAGCTGATCAAGAGGAAGGCAAAAAAACCCAGCAAAGCATGATCCAATTTGCTCCTGCAGGGGAAAAAATTCCTTCCTAATCCCCCGAGAGGCAATCGGATATTCCCTGGATCAACTTTACCTATAAATGTTAGTATCCAGTTATATTCTGTGTATCCAAGAAAGAATCCAGGCCTTTTTTAAAGCAATCCACTGAGCTGGCCAGAACCAACTCTTGAGGGAGTCTATTCCACATTTTCACAGCTCTCACTGTGAAGAAACCTTTCCATGTTTGGAGATTAAATTTATTTTCCTCCAGATGTAAAGAGTGCCCCCTTGTCCTCTGTGATGACCTCAGGGTGAATAGCTCTACACCAAGCTCACTATATGAACCACTGATGTATTTATACATGTTGATCATATCCCCCCTTAATCTCCTCTTCTCAAGAGAGAATAAATTCAGTTCCTCTAATCTTTCCTCATAGCTGATCTCCTCCATGCCTCTTATCAGTTTGGTTGCCCTTCTCTGTACTTTCTCCAGTTCCCCAATGTTCTTTTTGTGAATTGGTGCCCAAAGCTGAACTGCATATTCCAGGTGAGGTGTTACTAATGATTTGTACAGGGGTAATATGATATCTCTCTCTCTGGAGTCTATACCTCTTTTAATACAAGAGAGGATTTTGCTCGCTTTAGAAACCGCAGCTTGGCATTGCATGCCATTATTAAGCTTGTGGTCTACCAGAACCCCCAGATCCTTCTTTACTGTTGATTCCCCCAGTTGTACCCCCCCCCCCTCCGGTATGTATGATGCAGGGGCGGACTGACCATTTGGAAACTCGGGCACTCCCGAGGGCCCTGGGTCAGTAGGGGGCCCAATGAGATGCCCCTGGTATCTTTTTCACAGGCTTTTTTGAGTTTGGGCAAGGACACAGGGGCCCCATGATCCCCTATTGCCCCGGGGCCCCATAACTTGTCAGTCCGCCCCTGGTATGATGCATGCACATTCTTAGCCCCCAAGTGCATAACCTTACATTTATCAACAATAAACCTCATTTGCCACATAGCTGCCTGATTAAACAGTGCATTGATTTAATGATTCTACTTTAAGGATCTGTCCCTGTATAATTCTAAATAAACCTTTAATATAGAATACCTTGCGTTTTCAAGTTACCTAGTCTGTTTGGCTTGCACAAGTGTTTTATTACCCCGTAAAAGAAGCCATGCTATTACTAAACTTATATTAACCCTTTCCAAAAAATGTACTATTCCACAGTAATGTCAGTTTGTGGTAAAACGATAAGCTGCATTCCACAAAATGCCAATGTAGTCCAAAACTTTTACTATCTCTGCCTTGCAGTAGTTACACCTCTGTTCTGGCAACATTTAATAAAGTGTGTTCGGGAACAACTGGGAAATAGTACAGAAATGTAAAAATTATTTAACCATCCAAACCAGCAGTTAGCTCTTCAAAGGATCCAATTTTCTTGCTGCATCAGAGCCCTCGAGACAAAGTTCTGTGATGCACTGACTTCCACATACTCACAGCCTGAGTGTATAACAGAACTTCACCTCAAACACTGACCACAAGTTTCCACCAGCTATGTAGAGTCTAAATGAAGGAGAAGAATACTGTATTTTCAGTTACTGTCGCAGTATTTACCTTGATGAGAATCATTGTATTGTGACTTTTACACTTTTATGTGCTTACTGTTTGTTATTTTTTTAATAGAGATTTGTAGATCAGCCCTTAACCTAGACAGATTTCTACAATCATTTTATCAATCTGGTAAAAAAAAAAAAAAAAAGGCCATGCTCATAACAAACTGCACTGTCAGAAGGAACAGTAAAGGGCTCATTCAGACAGGTGATTCAGCCCATGCAGGTAGCAGTGGATGCATGGATCTAAATGCAGGGGTTCTGTTTGGATCCATGCACCTGCTACTGCCCAAATGTCAAACTTTGACATGCAATTGTGTCTGTGCGGGTGTTGGGTCTGCATCCACTTCTATGGGTTGCCTGCACGTGGCTCTGAGGTGGATGCACACTATTTCAGAGGCACTGCACAGACTTAATCGCCTGTCAGAATGAGCCCTCAGGCAGAAGTAAGCTTGTATATGTAATAAGGAAATATAACTACCACCGAGTACAAAATATAATTACACACAAAGTTTTTAAAACGTTTATACACATCAAGCTCGTCTTTTTTTACACATATAAAAATTAAAATCAAGTGACTGTACATTTCCTTTAAAGCTGAATTCCAGAATGCTCCAAAACGAGTACAACAAAAACAATCTTTTTTTTCTCTCTTTTAGCTTACATCTAGCTCTTGAAAAGTAACAGTTTTTCTCTGTCCCTTGGAGAAGGGATCACTCAGGCGCTCGGCATCACGTCCACTGCCTACTCAGTGTAGTTGAAAAAAACTAGACATTAGCAATTAGGGTTGCACCAATACCAGTATTAGTGCTGATACTAAACATTTGAACGCCTACGCATTAAAAAATGCTCAGATACCTGAAACTGAAACCTTTGAGATGCGATTTCTGCCCACACAAAATTAATTGGATCAAATCACTGTAAGGAATCACGTGATTTGAACAGGAATGTGGTGTGGTTTCCTGCGGGCGCGATGCAATTTGCAGTGCGTTTCAAATTTTGTACCTACAAATGCCAGTTTAAACAAACTACTAAAGCCTAATTATTTTATTTGCTGCATTAACCTGGGTGATAATTTTGAGTTTATAATGAAGCAATACCAGGACTGGCTAAGCATTTTGGAAGTTTGGACAGTCACGCCTATGGTGCTAATGAATGCCCAAAGCTTTAATCCCTTCAAGTCCGGACACTTTCACCCCCTTCACCCCCTTTTCAGCTTTCAATGCTATCACACTTTGAATGACAATTGTGCGGTCATGCAACATTGTACCCATATGAATTTTTTTGAGACAGATAAAACTTTATTTTGGTGGTATTTATTCACCACTGGGATTTTTATTTTTTTGCTATTTAAATGAAAAAGTCCAAAAACTTTGAAAAAAAAAAGTGTTTTTCTTATAAAATTTTGCAAATAAATCTTTTTTCATAAAACCTGGCCAAAATGTATTCATCTATCTTTTTAGTAAAAAAAAAAAAAAACAAAACTAGTTTATAACCAAAATTATAATTTTTCAAAAATTTTTTTACATTTTTTGTTTTACATTTTTTTTTTATATTTTTATGTTTTGTTTTTTTTTAACATACTGTCACCCTAGCAGTACAGTGTCGCCATAGTGACACTGTACTACTTGTGGGGGGTGATGAAGATATTTTCTTTTTTTACACGGATTGCTTTCACACCCATAAAGGCTGTAAAAGTAATCATTTCTTCTTCTCTCTGAATGCATTCTTGCAGCCATTGAGAAATACTGTGAAGCTGTGATTGGTCACAGCTTGTCACATGGTACAAGGTTGTTGAAGGCTGTTGTGAATAGGCTTGTACCATGTGACCTCTGTGATCATTCACAGATTTCACAAGTAGTAATCAAATGATGTCATCTTGTTTACTACTATTCATGTGATCACTGATTGGCTAATCAGTGATCACATGAATCGGGACCTCACACAGAGGTCCCGTACAGCGTTCGCGGTGCTGCGGAGCGCGCAGAGGCAATGGATGTGGGGGGACGTTTAGAAACGTCCACCCACATCGGAAGCGCTCCCGTCTGGCCGTTTATCTACATGGGCCGGACAGGAAGTGGTTAATTTGAACAGTTTGAGCGAGGTCCTGTTAAAACCTTTGGTAAACTTGTTCTGTATAGACAACTGCTGCCAGAGGACCAGCTAAGCATATTACCAGGCAAAATTAAAGCCACTTCTAACCCCATTCATTACCTGGGTGCTTTGTATTATTAATCAGAAAACAACTCATTATTAATAAACCGAGTACATTTAAAGAGCTCTTTTAATCATTTCACAAATCTATCGCTACTGGACAAAAATAGCTACAAGGCGCTCCAGGGCTTGATTAATCTCACTCTCGAGATGGAAGATGAGTGATTTGGATCTGATCGTTATGCTGCTGTGGCTGCTCTAAGGTGGAAAGTAATTAATTCTTATGCGCACATTATTTACTAGTAGTTCAATTACCTCTCAAAGGCTGATGTAAATAAATACTGACCCAGCCATTAAACACTGGACAGGCTGTGACATTGCTATATGACATGGAGCTAATTGTTTCTGGGATTTAATAACATCCATCCAATCAAAATGTTCCTAATCAAAAGGAACTATTCATACTATGTTCCTAACATTAACCCAATGTATTCTACAATCTAGATCATACTGTACAACCAATCTCATCTAAGTGAACACCAAGAATTAAGTCTGCTGTAAATCCAAATCTTACATACTAAAACACAAACTCTCGACAGCTAGTGTAGCAAAGGAAAGGAACGTCAATATTCTCACCAAATGGTGTCCCCAATACATGCCAGTGCTGTTTGTTTGACCCAGGCATAATGGGTCCACTGATCATGTGTTTTCCAGATGTGGTTTTTAATACATATGATACCCTGGACCCTACAGGTAACCCTTCTCCCTGTGCACCCTGAATCCTTCTTCACCAAGAAAGGTCTCTTGCCCATTTTTTTCTCCTTTATTAATGGCAATAGCAGATATTCATAGGCATTGGAACTGGAACACAATATCTTTCCCCACCACTAAGGGATGGGTTGATTCCCTTATATGAATAGAATAGTTAACTGCCCCTGGATTCTCTTCCATGATGGTTCT